TAACAACACCTACATTTCCTTTCCATACATTCGCCAACTGCGTGAAAAGCTGCGACGCATTATATCTGCCTCCGGACTCAACATGGTGTTCAAGTCTGGTGCTACTTACGTAGCAACTAAGCCACCTTAAGGTCAAGAAACCTAAGGAGCAGAAAGCTAGTTGGGAATACCAAATCCCGGGATCCAATGGTGCGATTTACAAATTCTAAATTGGTAATACGGTCGAAGAAAGGAAGACAGGCTACATGAGGAATCTCATAAGGTGGAAGAACGCTAATGCTAGAGAAATGGGTCAATAGCAAGTCGGCAGAAGTCGGAGACAGATGAAAATCCCTGAACATGTAAAGGCAGAATGCAAGGAAAATTCTGCCATTGTGGAACATGTTGTTACACACCAACACAACATATCGTGGGAGAGAATGAAAGATGTCGAGCGAGAATAACAGTATTTTTCCCGGCAAAGTCAAGCAAGCGTTACTGATCTGAGCAACCAATTGCACCAACCCTGACCTTGGAACAGACGTCAGCGACATATGTTCTGCAAATATGAAGTGGCCAATTAAAACCGAAAAGCAAACGCGGCAGCACTACTCATGCGGGTCAACCAGACCAGTATGAAAACATTACGTGTCTTTGTCATTGTACACTCAAGACGAACCGAGCTTGGTCCGAAAAGTCAGATGTCCCTAATTAAAGAACATTTTATGCATTGCCTTCCCGTTTGCGACTTACTAAAGATTACATGATTTATGAAACATATTATGAAGTAAATGCGTATTTTACTTTGATTTATAGTTAAAATAAATTGAGAATAGAATGACGAGTGTATGAAAACTGTCCAATCCTAAGCAAGATTCGTACTTGCCAATTCTTCTTCAATTTACTTTTATTATAAATTAAAGTAGAATACATATTCGTCTCAAGAAATTGTGTGTGTAAGTTAAAGCTACCACCTTGCTGTTATTGAGGCTTCCTTGGAAGACAGTCCTACTGTAAATTCGTGAATAATTATGAAGATAAATACGTAAGTATTTAATGTGTTAAGGCAGTAAATATGAAATAGGTAATCAAACCAAATAGGCAAGTAAGATAGAAATAAAATTAACATATAAATTAATGAGTACATAGCTCCGTAGTAAGTAATTACATGGAGCAATAAATAAACTAATGGGTAGATAAGGAAGTAAGCAAGTGAATTGGCCAATAAATGAGCATGCAAGTAAGTAAGTTAGCATGCACAGTTGCAAATAAGAAAGTCAAGAAGTAGATAATTGCATAAGCTGACAGATATATAAGCAAACAGGTACCATCATCACTACCCTAGAGAAGAAATGAAAATAGAAATTTCTTGAAAGAATTTCCAATTCTTAGTTCATGATCGGTGTCAGATATTTTTGGTCACCTTTTTAGAAACCCAAGTTCATTGCGAGAGTTATATTACCGACTGTGATGGCTATCGACAATGATAAACGTAATCACAACCGATAAAAAATGTTTTGGTTTTGTTAAATTTGTTCTTAACGATGTTACCAATATTGACAAACCAAGTCGTCCATCATGAAACTTTGCAGCCATTACTTAACGCCTGAGTATTTTAGCTCTGGATGAAGAAGACGACGCCCATAGTTATTTGTGATCACAAGGAAACACTCTTTCTGTCGCTCTGTAGTTAACATTCGCAGAACAGCAGAATTTCAGTTTCAACTGCACGTTTCAGTTGTCGCATTCTCTGCTGTTTCACCACACTGAATGATATTCAACAATTTGATTCGATGTGCAAATGCACTGCTGTATATCATTTGAGATCTTAATGCAGCAAATATTCAGTAAAGTGAATTATTGAAATATTATATCTTTCATTTTCACATGAAACATGTCGTCTGTCAACGGGTATCCATTGATCTACATAAAAAGATATTAATGATGAGGGTTTAAAAATATGCTGATATTGCATTTAACCTTTTCGTTTGCTCTGCGACTAATTCAGCGTGAACATCTTCATCGAATGCACTGGTGGATTCTGAAATGAAACACCAATTCTCATCTTGACAGTAGTTTTCCGCAAGTTGGTCATGCACCATAAGCCGTCTGTAAATGATATTTTGCACTTTAAGGTTGTTGAGAATACAACTTGTGAAAAACTTTAGTTTGCAATTCGATTTCGTTTGAAAAGATACACAAACCTTTACATCTGTAGCATGCACTCGACAAACCGATGATGCTGCCCGAGTTTCGTCGTGCCAAGCACACAACAAAGATGAAATAAACCAAATAAAATAGGCGTTATTCTCTGCTTCAATTGGAGGCTGATTTTTCATTTTTCACCATGAAATTTTTTCTTCCCGTGTAACTGTACCAAGCGCGTTCGAATAATTAACACAGAAATTAAGGTTAAAAACTTTAGTTGGAAAAGATTTCGATGTTCGCCTGGAAATTTCTGGAACACATAACTTTCTTTTTTTCGTACTGCTAAATTTCAGATGTGAATCCATGCACTGAGATTGTTTCTGCAGTTAACGCTGCCCCCTGGTTTCTTCTATAAATAAACAGCGAATCAACTGACCAGGCAGTGCTGCCCGGTTAGCTTACGCGCTCAAACAACCAGGAATTGTCCAACTGCCTCACATTTAATTCATAGCCAAATATTAAATTTTGTTTTTGACATGCTACTCAGTGTTGTTGTTATTTTTCTGTCGTTTCATTTGCAGTCAATTTGATTTTTAGTTTGTAAGGATCAGAATTTTGTATCCTGAAGTGTTCTGAGGAAATTAATTAAGAAGCGAGTCACTAGAATGTCACATTATTATTTAGATGCTAGATGCATTATTATATTTACAGGCAGATCGATTAATGGTACGTTACTGAATACCTGTTTTTTATCTTAAATCTATTATAGTCGCGGTCTCACTGTTTAATTTGTGTTAAAATTTCTCCGTTATCAAATTAGAAGGAAGATATTGCGGTTGCATGTTCGTCGGGGTAAAATGAAGCTATAAGGTGCGCTCGCATCGCAAAACCCCGACCATACTCCTCGTCCACTGTGGTATGACAAAAACAGAATATCATGCTATCCTTATTAGCCGTATGGAACCAGGCACTGTACCCGTTTCTATACTGGTTGCGCATAGGCAAGGATTGGTCAATTTCTTGTTCAAGGGAATTCGAATTCAAGATAATAATGGTCCCTTGAATGGATTTTAACCCGGCGCATCCGATGTTAAAACTGGACCTCGTTGGTACTGCAGCACGGTATATGATGGCGTTATTACTTTATGAAAAGCGCAACCATGAACCATTTTTTGCTCTTCGGACATTATTTTATAGCTTTATTACATTACTTCAGTACACCCTGAAGTGCAGTGGGAAACTCTCAACCTGATAAGAGCACGGAAGGAAGCAAATTAAACGTGAATTGCGTTATTAATCAAAGTTTATAACTGTTGTATATCGGAACAGAATGGTTTTATTCGTGCACTCAGGCAATAAAATGCCATTCATCCACAATCTTTATTTAACATCCAGTTCTTCTGCATTCTTGTAACAAGACTATTCGGTCCAGCATGACTAATTAATACCTAGCAATCAGTTAAATGTCATCGCATCTGTAGCTTCTCGGCCGCAGTGTGCGCCATATGCCAATCAGTTAAGCAGTTTACTCAAACGGGCAGTGAGTCGACTGATCGCTTACTCAGTTAACACAACTCTGCTTAGCGTTGTCCCCTGGCCCAATTTCTTGGATGATGCATAATTGACTCGCTTAACTTATCATATAACTGACGTCATTAGGTGACGTATCGAGCATGATGTAACGTGATGAATCAGTTTCCGTCTCTGGTTTTCATTCTTCTTCTATTGGAGGCATGTCGTTTTTAAAGCATGTAGTACCCCGGATAATGCGATTCCGTTTCAAGCCCATTGCAGATGACTACCATATACTGGGTCCGAACTTCTCAGAAGTCATTCGAACTTGTCTCTGCTCGTATTTACCGAAACTCGCATGATTAGTCCGTTAGCCGTTCTGTTGCAGCTTGGTTCGTCATCCGTCAAGGCTTGTTTTCTCTGCTAAGTTTTGTTTTATTCCAGTGTCAGTTTCATATTTGCGGTCAATATCCTGCACGTAGTCTGACACTGCTGCAAAATGGGACAGTTTCACCGTTCTCTGCCGGCAGTATCACCTAAGCTTCCCACAGCATGTAGAGTGAAGCAGATTTAAATACTGTTTGCTGACTGTTTGGTTATGAGCGATTGTAGTAATTCCTTCTGTGTTTAGTTGTATTGAAGTATACCGACGTAATGATTGATTGTCATTGCCATCTCTGCGACGACCAGTTCGATAAGGTAAGTGGTACGATGGGTATTAGTGCTGACAGATGTTAAAACATGCATTTTTAGGACCTCTCTGAAGTGATTGAAAGAGCAAAACAGGTACCTAATTGCACTGTTTTCCTTAATGTGCTGTTTCTGACATCCCTTTTCGAGAGTGGTTCTATCATGTCGGTTGTTCATGTATCAAAAATACGAGTTGGTGCGACAGTGTATTCATTCATTCGTTCGTTCGTCATCCATTCACCCGTTCATTAATTCACTCATTCACTCACTCACTCACTCACTCACTCACTCGCTCATTCATTCACTCGGTCGTTCATCCATATGTTCGCTGATTCATTCATTCATTCGTTCATTTTAATTGTGTCCCCTACGGAACACGTCACAACCATCTTGTAAAAGAACAAATCGATTTACATATAAAGAGACAGAATCGTTTGCTGTTGTTGTCACACAACCTCGAATTAATTCAGTTATTAGTGTTGCTGCTACGTGACTTTGAATAACTTGGGCGATCGAAATGGTAGCAAGTAGTCTTCTGTATCTAGAAAACTGTCGTCCTCACTGCTGCGCAGCCAGTTTTCTTACAGCAGCATGACGCAGGCGTTAAAGGAAAGTGAAATCGACCGACAGGAGGGCTTCAATTCTTCGAGATTGGGTAGGATGGCTCGGTGATTGTTGGAAATTGCAGCACTAAAACAAGTTTTTGTACAGAGTACTGTTTCGCAGCGGTTTACCACCTTTCATTTCTCCCTCGTCTTGACTTCGGAAGATGTACACCGATGGACATTTAAACACAAGGGGTAATGACGTGCTGCAACTTAATGCGCAAAGGTTGAGCTATCCTCAGAGACGTACGACAACCACCACACGCGTAGCAATACCTTTCAGCGTTGTTCATTAACGCCTCACTCGAAAATCCGGTTTCGCTATAAACTGTGTTACCCTCTTTCTCTTAGATGCTTTGAGGCTATCTAAGGAATCCACGATTTACGACGTTTAAGTATTTGGAATGGTAGATGGACTTCCGTCGCGTAACCGAAATCGTTAATGATAAGTAGGTTATTCATCAGTATTCAGTAGTTGTTCATTCTATGCAGATAAAATGCTCAGTCTGCTTTCAGCACATGCGTAGGTACATCATGCAACAGCGGGCAAACTTCTTATTTCTGTGCAAGGGGAAGGACAACGTTAGTGTTGAAAACGTTACAACGTTTTAGTGTAGATAGGTTCGTGAATACGCCATCTGTTCTCGTACAGCGGATTTTCTATGTGGCACAATTCTTGTCGCTGTGGTTATGTAGTCACTGCGTGTAGCGGAACTCCGAGAGTAACGGGCTATTATTAGGGCGAGTTGTTGTCGTTTTGTCATCGTTATCCTATAATCACAGAGCCCAACCAGCAGATTAACCCGGATTTATGAGTCTGACCGTTAGAAATTATACTTAAGAGTGTTTTCTTGGTGACGTGCACTGTCGCGACGAAAGTCCTTCGCGAGCAGGTCTCCCTCCAGGAGATGTTTGCACGTTTTGTGTTGTCTCCAACTCGTCTGTGGCCAGCGCAAGCGAGAGCAATTTTGAACATATTTTCATTA